TGTGACTTTCAACATGGAAGATGCTTCTGCTCTCTCCCTCTCTCCTACCTTGTCTGGGGGCTGTCAGGGGTAGGTTCTCTCCTGGTTCTCTCTTGCCCCCTCATCTGCTCTGGGTTTAGGGAATTCTCAGAAAGCACCCGTCCAACAGTGGTGAGAGCCCCACGTTTGGAAAGGCACAGAACTGAAACTGTCAGCACTAGAAATGCTGGGTCCTGGGGTTCACTCCTTAGACTGCCCGTTCCTGGCATGTTAATGGGGCTGCTGCAAAAGGGGATTGTGGGCACATGAGCCTAGGAAGTGCTTGGCTAGACAAGTGCAATAGGTTTTTCAGTGCAGGACTTCTCAGGGTCTTGCCAACTCCTGGAGGGAATTTTATAGGCAGTTTCCTGACCTTATTTGATCATAGAATAGTTTTTTTCAAGAAGCACTTAAAGGGACTCATGTTCTACAAAAACCACACTTTGGGAAATCACGATCTAATTCGGTCCTTTCATTTTACAGATGGAGAGAATAAGGCTGGGCGAGAAGTGCCTTGCTGAGGACCAGCAGGGCTAACCCACCACCACAGTCAACAGGATCGCTCATTACGGACCTCTCGCCCTTCTTCCTCCCTCACAACTGTCCTGCGGCTTTTCTACCCAGAAGTTTCTCCTGCACCTTCCACCCGTACCTACCCAATGAGCAAAAGTCAGAGGAGCTGGGACAACTGAACGCAGTCAAGAGGTTAGTTCCAGGGGAAGAAGATCTGGAAAACAGTGCTTCAGAACCTGCAGAACCCTACTTTCACCCAGGAGAGAAGGAGAAAGATCTATCTGGTAACTACACAGATGCAGGGAGAGGACTGCAGGGTGGCTGGGAAAGGGCTTTGGAGCCACGGTTCCAAAGATACGTAAGAATATGCAGGGCAATGACCGAGTCATGAGACCAACTCAGATACCATAGATGCAAGGAGCCTCGCGGTTTCTGGTCACACCGCGTGTACATCCGAACCTACTCAAGAAGCCACAATAGGGATCGAGTCCTGGGTCTAGCCTCTGCTTCTCTTCCGCCCTGGAAAGTCCTCCCTGGGAGTGCTCCACTTATCCACTGCCTTCACAGGGCGAGAGGAGGGTGAAAAGAAAAGACCTCTACAGCCCCGCTGGATGGAATTGAGAGAGGACGAGAAGTTACGTATCTACGGTGGAAAGTCCGGAGGAACCCTAAAAAGAAAAAAACCCTCCCAGCAGCCTCAGGGCCCTGAACAAACAGCCAGCGTTCTGCCAGTGTGGCTTTGGATAAACCACAGCTCCTCTCTGGCCCTCTGTCTCCTCAATAAAGCTAGGGGTTGGACGAGTTGTGCTCTGAAAAGCTCTCCCACTACCCCCACCCCTAGCTCCACAGGCTGGTGATGGCTTTCCTCCCACGGAGCAAAACTTCTTGTCTAACTTCTCTTTGGGACTAGAAATGAGCTGGGAGTCAGGCGGTGGTTGACTCTCAGGTCAGTGTAGGCGAATGGAGCCATCTTGACTCTAAGAATCCCAGTTCTGGGCACATCCCAGAGCCCTCTGTGCCCTGCCTACTGGGACCCACTTCCCCATGGGACACTCACCGAGGCTCCTCAGACAATGTCACCTGGTCCTTCTCCCAAGTAACGGTGGGGGCTGGCAGCCCTTCGATGTGGCACTCAAAGCGAGCTGTCCCATTCTCCTCCACCGTCTGAGCCTCCGGGTGCAGAGAGAAGTCTGCGAGTGCTGGGGATGAGGACAGTGAGACATAGGCAGGGACAGGAGACGAGCACCAGAGAGAGGCCCCAGCGAGCCACACACACACACACACACACACACACACACACACACACACAGCAGAGCAAATTCAGACCAAGGGAGACAGAGCTGGGGAGAGGCGGCCAAGGGATAAGAAGTGGCGATTATTGGTCAGATGCTGCCAGCATAATGAATTCTAACGTCCCCCTACTCAAAATCATCGTCATGGTCAAATTACAGTAAGATGTACACTGCTTCTGGCCTGGAAATTATTTCCTGGTGATCTGTGCCTCCTGAGAGCCCCCCAAGGGGTGGGCTGGACGCTGGGTCTTGACTCCACACTTTACCTCTGTGCAGATGGGGGCTCCCTGAGGAGGCACCTCTGTGCCCTGACACTCTTACAAGCCTCTCTGGCAGGCTTCCTGGAGGAGGGCACAACTCCAGACTCCAGAACTCAAAGGGAAAGAAAGGGAAGAGGAACAGGGGAGTGGGGGGAAGTGGGAAGGCAATGGAATACTGGAAAGTGAGGGTGGACAGTACCGGCAAGGGACCTATTGAGCAGGATGCAGGCACTTACTGGCCAGCTTGACCACAGCAGCCTGGCTGGCCACCACTCCGAGGGGGCCGTGGGCCAGGCAGGAATAGCTGCCTTCAATGGCCCCCAAGGTCCCAGGGACTGCCTCGTCACTGTCATCAGGTGCTCGTGGCTGGGACAGCCACAGGGAGCCATTGGGTAGCAGGTGCAGGTTATCGTGCTCCAGCAGGGTGTCCCCATCCTTGCTCCACGTCACCCGGGTGGGCGGTCCAGCAGCAGCGGCCCCCAAGCTACAGTCCAGCACCACAGCCTGCTCCAGGCCCAGGATCACTTGCAGTGGCCCCGCTGCACAGCTCAGCTCTACGGTCGTCTCCTGGGCTGACAGCAGCTCCCCTGTGTAGAAGAGGGGCACCGGGGCCATCAGTGTGTGTCCTCCCACCTCCACAGCTTCTGCTCCTGAGTCACCCACCCACAGCTGGGGCAAACCAGAGAAAGAGTGGAGAAAGAGTCTCCCGGAAAGACCTGTGTCTGGATCCCAGCTCTCCCCTTACTGTGACCTTGGGCAAACTGCTGCACTTCTCTGTGCCTGTCTTCCCTGCTGCTCAATCTCCTCGTAGCAGCATTATTTACAACAGCCGAAAAGCAGAAACAACTGAAATGTCCATCACTTGATATGGATAAATAAGTTACTCAGCCATTAAAAGGAGTGAGGTACCGATGCATGCTACAACATGAAAACTTTACGCTAAGTGAAAAAGCCAGTTGCAAAACGCCACATATTGCATGATCTCATTTCTATGAAATGCCCAGAAGAGGCAAATCCATAAAGACAGAAAGTAGATTAATGGTTGCCAGGGACTCGGGGCAGGGGAAGGAAGAACGGGGAGGGACTGCTAATAAGCACAGCGTTTCTTTTTGGGGTAATGAAAATGTTCCAGAATTAGATAATGGTTGCATAACTCTGAATATACTATAATAAAAACGACCGAGTTTACACTGTAAATGGTGAATTTTATAGCATGTGAATTGTATCTCAATAAAAAAAAAGCTTAGTAATTCCTTCCTCATAGGGCTGTTGTGAGCATTAAATGAGATGATGTGGCCGGGCGCGGTGGCTCATGCCTGTAATCCTAGCACTCTGGGCAGCCGAAGC